TTTATAGTTAAATTACAAATATAAAATTAAATGAGAATTTTCCCGCGGAACCCTTAGCGGCCTTTTGCGAAACCCCAGTGCTCCGGGAAATACCGGTTGAGGTACACTGGTATGAGGAGATCAATTGATTTCTTATCTGATTCAAATGTTTGATTTGAATTCATGTTACGGCCGTATCACGTTGAAATACTGATTCTCGTTTGCTCAACGGATATAAGCAACGTTTTATCTAGCCGGGTGACCACTAGAGAAACAGGAAGGTCGGTTTTGGGGCCGTGGTAATGCGATGATTATGATAGTTGTGGTTTGACATGATAAATAAAGACATGAAATATTTTTTTCCAGATTGTTACCGTTAGGCGAGCCAACAACTTTAAAGGTTGAAAATTAGAGTTTTGGCCTCTTCTTCCGGTGATCAATCAAAGATTTACCGTTGTCAAAAAATTCTCTACCGTCAGGGAAAGAAAAAAATGTGTAAATGTCATTTAATAAAAATAAAAAATTGGGGCTACTTGCTAGACGAAGTCAACTTTATTACCAGGCCATGGAGATTGGGAGCATCTTTTTTTTTTAAAGCAATTGATACAAAGTTTAATGAACGTAAGATTCTAGTCATTTTTAGATATCGAGAAAGTCAGGCAATAATTCCAATGAAATCAACATTATTGGACCAATTGATAATTGTTAGCATCTTTGAAACAACTGATACAAAATGGCCTTACTGACAATGGTCGAAACACTAGACATCACCCTAGTCTAGAACGGACATGGCATTTAAAAAAGCTTTACGGTTCGAAGCCATTTTAATACGGGCGTGGTATGTGTTCTATATGTGCTAACATTGGCTTAGTGAAGCACAAGGCCACACAATTTAAGTCGTTTAGTGTAGATCTAATTTACACTATTTACATTATTCGGACTATTGCCGTCATCTTTGTCGCCATATTTATTACAACGTTTCGACCGTTGTACGCTCCGGCTTTTTTCAGGTGGTTGGAATGTCGTACTGAACCTGTTATTTCGCTCACTCGTGTAGACTGTTCTAGTTCCACGTGCCATGTCTAATGGTTATCTCCTGTTAATTCGCCTCTCCAAGTTCTCAACCCTCTCAACCAGGTTTGAACTCACACTCTTTGGGTCATGTCACTGGATCTAACTAACGCCTTTATCCACTGTGCCACGTGACCTTGAGAAATATAGACAGATACTGAAGGATCTAATTTAAGCGTAAAAGTCTGCAATACGAAACTTAGCGATCACTGTACGCCATTTGCCACAGAGTAGATATATTTCTTGGGTCAGTGCCACAGTAATGCCGATTCCGGAGAGATATGAACTCACTATGTGGAGAATAGAAGTGGGGGTTACTTGCTAGACGAAGTCAACTTTAATCCCAGATCATGAAGATTAGAAGCATCTTTTTTTTTAAGCAATTGATACAAAGTATAATGAACCCATATGATTCTAGTCATTTTTAGATATCTAGAAAATCAGGCAACAATTCAAATAGAATCATCATTCCAAGAACAATTGATGATTGTTAGCATCTTTGAACAAATGATACAAAATGGCCTTACTGACAATGGTCGAAACACTAGACATCACTCTTGCATAAATACTCAGTTATCAGAATTGGTAATTCAGTTGTATAAATGCTGAAATAGTCTGGAGTAGAGTTTTTCCCCCTTTTTACCCCCCGTGGCACCCTTGAAATAGTTTTCATGTCTAAAGTAAAGAAGGCCGGAGCGTACAACGGCCGAAACGTTGTGACAAATATGGCGACATAGATGAGGACAATAGTCCGACTAATGTAAATAATGTCTAAAGTAACCCTAACATAAAAAAAGTCTTATATACCACTATTAACATCAATCTCTGTTATATTTTTATCTTAGTTCATGTTATAAAAATAATTATATGGAAAACGGTGGAGTAACGGATAGCGGCTCGGATTGAGGAATTGGAGAGCCAAGTTCGAATTCCAGTCGAATCCATTCCATTCAATTGTGTGCTAATATCCTTGGGAAAGCTATGGATCCTCTTCTTCTCCAGCCCAGATATGGGTAAATAGCAGGACAGACTGGGTTCTGTAGCTTTGGATGACAATTGGTCTACCGCAGAAAGAAATGGCAATCTACTACAGGGAAAAATATCTGCCTCGTCAGTCATGTATCGAAAGATATATGATTGCCTAAGCGTGTATCACGCATGACACATATCTGACTGCCTGATATGGACAACGTGCACGCGTCCTGTATTCGAGTGAGTCTCTCAATGATACACAGATCCGTCATGTAGAGGTCCTGTTCGCTAAGCAATGAAGGCGGTTTCACACTGAAATTTCTAAATACATTCCCTACGATTATTACAATTTTAAATAATATAAGAGTTCGAAATCTTTCTTATAATAACGAACGATTTTCCCAAAATATGCCGTATAGGTTTAGCAAAATTTCGAATATAAAAGTAAACAAAAAATTACTCAAAAGTATATTAGCCTATTTATCACTGTATCTCGGGGAATCGCTAGCGACTTCTTGCTAAGTCCTGGGAAACACCCGTTGAGAAACACTGTTTGCTATTATTATAATTTTTCAGTGACCAGTTTAGAGGAGGTATACTTGTTACTTCACTTCGCTTATTATGAGGTTGTCACACATGAAAGGATACACGTTATAGGAAATAAATAAAACGCTTCTGAAATATTAAATTAGTTGACATAGGTACCATGTTGATGAATGACTGATCTCCAACGTACCCCATAATTCTTAATTCCAACTTAAAAATTTTCTTTGACGTGATAAACAGTTCAAATGCTTCGATTACTTCTTCCTTATCGGAGAATGTTTTATCGCGTATGAAAAGCTCAAAATGCTTAAATAAGTGATAATCAGTAGGAAAGATATCAAGTGAATATGGAGGATGAGGCAAAATTTCATAATTCAGGCTATGCGGCTTTTGGACAGTTGATTAAGAAATGTAAGGTGGGGGGGTTACTAAGTGTTAGAGAGTATGAGAAAAATACTATTAAAGAGAGAGAACTATTAAATAAAAGAACAGGAATTAAGAAGACAGACGATAAGGATTGACATTACATTTCAATTTTTAAAGGCCAAAGTTGACTTGGAAGAAACCGGAAGAGAGTTAGTTCCACAAGCGAGAAGTGCGATAGAAGAAACTGTTAGCATAGAACTTAAGGTTATATCTAGCGATTTCAACTGTAAAATGATGAGACCTCGCCGCCAACTTAGTACTGCGCTTAAATTCATAAAGTCTAGGTGCCATAGAGGAAAGTTTATCAGAACAATTCAAAAGATTTCTAAAAGAGAAATGAACGTCCAGAACCGTTCCCGTATCATCTATAATCGGAATGAATTTGTGAGCATATTAGACGGACTTAGAATATATTACTATATTTTAAATATATTAGAATATATTAGAGTTATGTTAGGGTGGCACGCATTAAATGATACGCTTTATACACCTAAATTCTTGATTCCAACTTAAAAAAATTCTCATCCTTTGATGTGATAAAGAGTTCAAATGCTTTGATTACGTCTTCCTTATCGGAGAATGTTTTAGCGTATATGAAAAGCTCAAATGGCTTAAATAAGTGATAATCAGAAGGAGAGATTTCTTTTTAAGCGTTTCACCCCAAGCAAGGCAGGAAGCCACTAGCACACAAGGGGTTACAGAGAGTTGGAGCGAGAGCAAAGAGGAGTGATAGAGGAAAAGATGAAGAGAAGGATAGGGGATAGATCAAGGCATCTGGAGACGTCGATTGACATTACATTTGAATAGTTGGAGATTATAGCTATCAGGAAAACTGGGAAAGGGGAGGGAGTTCCACATGCAAGAAGTGCGAGACATGAAGATATTAAAGTAGAAGAAAACGGCTACATTTAACAGTTTCGACAGTGAAAGGGTGAGAGTGAGATGCCAGCCTAGTAGAACGCTTAAATTCATGAAGTCTGGGAACCAGCGAAAGCAGCTCATCGGAGCAGTTACCAGGAAAGTATTTGTAAAAAAGACAGAGCAAGTGTATATTGAGGATTTAGGCTATGCAACTTTTGAACAGTTGATTGAGAAGCGTTTGGATGTGCATTATTGTACAGCAAGATTGGGCCATCCCTATTCACAAATTTAGTATGTTTCTGTTTCAATTTTTCATGCATACACTCAGTCTTTCCACAATACGAGGTTGTTATCATTGTTTTCCCTTTAGGCAAGAATGAATGATGAATAACCCATTTAAAAGACCACCATACAGTAACCATTAACATTTTAGGGTGTAGTTGAGGTTTTGGGTATTGTTTTGTTGATTCACTTGCATATAAGCTCTGGCTTACTCTCTTACTGTTGTCAAAACGTATCCATTCTTCGTCGCCTGTAATGATTCGATGTAAAAATCGTTCTTTTTCTAGTCGTTTTTTTAGTCTCATTCAGTTCATGCTGAACCAACCTATCCAGTTTCATTACTTCAATTGCTTTCAAATGTCGAGAAACAGTTGTACGAGATGTTGCTGGTTCTGATGCAAGTTTTCCGGCTGTAGTTCTTGGATTTTGCTCAGCCAAACCATTCAATTGATCAGGTCTGATAACCGATCGTGGTCTTCCCTTCGGTTTATTTTCAAGACTATCATCTTCCGAAAAAAATCTTCTGAAACCATCTTTGTGAAGTTTTCATTTCAACAATGTCATTACTAAAGGCCACCTTGATATTCCGAAATACTTCAAAGGCAGATTCATCCATTTTATACTCATACAGTATGATTACTCGACATTGTTTCATTGGAATCATTTTCATTGGGCTTAGAAGTAACAATATATTGAAAGAAAACTTATCTGGAAAGAAAAAAGTCATGAATGTCAAGATTTTTTTTTAATATACTAAGGAGTTTACTATGTTAGACAACCGGATCATCTATCAAGCAAATGTGGCAACCCAATATTTCATTCATAAGAGTAATTAAAAGCTATTCTGTAAGGTGGGGGGCTGTTTGATACCAAAAATTTGACTTAAAATTTGAAAGATTTTCTTTTAAAAAAAAAAAAAAAAAAAAAAAAAAGAAAAATATTTTCATTCATTGGTTTGGAAATTCTTGAAAAAATCAAATAACTGCTGGATTTTAATGAAATTTTGAGGACTTATTCAAATTAAATTATTTTAGAATTCTTTTATATATATCTTTTTTTAATGAAAATCTTGGTAAAAATATATATTTAATTTTTTAACACCTGAAACTTTATTTGAGGAATATTAGCTGATTTAAAGTATAATTAATCTGATTTGAAATCATTTTCATTGGGCTTATAATTAACAATATCTTGAAAGAAAACTTATCTAGAAAGAAAAAGAGTCAGGAATAAGTCAAGATTTTTTTTAATATACTAAGGTGTTTACTTCGTTAGACGACCAGATCACCAACCAATCACAAATGCGCCATTTCCTGTGTGCTTTTGATTGACTTTGCTCTTATGATGTTTATATATGCAACAAAGCCAACTCATAGTTATATACATAGAGCCTATTGACAGTTTATTGGTTTAGTTATTTGGGCGCTTCGAGGTGTTGTAATGGTTAACAAGCTTGTCTCGCTAAAACAATTACGACTGAGTAGTGACTTCGATCCTCACTGGGTGCCCCATACATTCGGCATTGTGCCACATCTAAGCTACGCTTGGAAAGTCGCTATTGGTTTAGTTATTTAGCTAATTCACTAGTTTGGTTTGGTTTGATTTGTTTTAAGGCATATCAACCTCAATGGGTTATTTAATACCGACAACATTTTTATTGCTCGTAATATTTTTTCCAAAAAATGTATTGCTGGTAATATTTTTCCTCAAAAACGTTTTGCTGGTAATATTTTTTCCTTCAAAAATTTATTGCTGGTATTAAAACCTATTTTTACATGTTCACAGTGTTTTGACCCCAGTTTGGGGGTGAACTATGTGCCCACAGTTGGGATCCTAACAGGTGCTGCCACCCCGAGTCAGGGTAGGACTGGGAACACAACAATTAAGAGTTTGTTCCAAGCTCCTTAAAACCTCCTGATGAGAGGCCTTGCTGTTGCACGTAGTTTATCGTCTTACCCAGGACGCGGTTGTAGTTTATCGTCTTACGCAGGACGCGGTTGTAGTTTATCGTCTTACGCAGGACGCGCTAATTCTCTCGTTACCAGCTTTTATAAGGCGTAAAAATTCACAGAGTAAAAACAATCTGGAGCTTTTGGTATATATCTCAAGATTCTTGACAAAATCCAAGGAAGGGTTTCAGTTTATTTCGTTCTTAGTAACCCCTTACATCTTAGTGGCTTTATCACCTTGAAATGATTGAAATTTTGTCAGCGACAAATGTGTTTCCGTTGTTCTGAAGGTTAGTTTTTTCGTATTCTGCACTTGGCGCCACTATTTGGTTTGCCGCAACAGCTAAAGTCATTATTCACCTTTGTTTTCTTAGTCTCTTGCATGAACTTATACATCTCTCTCTCTCTCTTTATATATATATATATATATATATATATATATATATATATATATATATATTCCGTGAAAGACTATTTATATCAGATGGTATTTTTATATTATTTTTGTTATTATTATTTTTATTTTATTCTTTTGCCTGTTCTCACTCGTATTTTGGTAGTCGTTTCTGAAGACTGGGTCTCGTCATATTTTCAGCATCCTTTTCGGTATGCTCGCAGACGGAAGCAATGCCGTTATCTGGTTTGTCTCAATCATTCTTTCGATTCTTACTATTTCCATTCTTGACGTTGTGCGCTTTTGGGAATGGTTCCAGCTTCACCAGAAATTACGATATGTTTAGCAGTTTGTACGAAAACGCATGAAAATATTCTATTAATAACGCGACAAACGCTAGAAGTGTAAGGAAACTACACAGGCAGAGTAAAATCGGAATTCAAATCTACCCCAGGCTGATTTAAAAGTCAGATATACCCCTTCCTGGGTATGACAATGAAATACATCCGCGTCCTGGGTATGGCGATCAACTACATCCGCATCCTGGTTATGACGATAAACTACATCCGCGTCCTGGGTACGACCATAAACTACATCCGCGTCCTGGGTATGACGATAAACTATATCCGCGTCCTGGGTATGGCGATCAACAACATCCGCGTTCTGAGTACGACGATAAACTACATCCGCGGCCTGGGTATGGCGATCAACAACATCCGCGTCCTGGATACGACCATAAACTACATCCGTGTCCTCGGTATAACGATCAACTACATCCGCGTCCTAGGTATGACGATAAACTACTTCCGCGTCCTGGGTATGGCGATCAACAACATCCGCGTTCTGAGTACGACGATAAACTACATCCGCGGCCTGTGTATGGCGATCAACAACATCCGCGTCTTGGATACGACCATAAACTACACCCGTGTCCTCGGTATAACGATCAACTACATCCGCGTCCTGGGTATGACGATAAACTACATACGCGTCTGGGTATTACGATCAACTACATCCGCGTCCTGGGTATGACGATAAACTACATCCGCGTCCTGGGTATGGCGATCAACAACATCCGCGTCCTGGGTACGACGATAAACTACATCCGCGTCCTGGGTATAACGATCAACTACATCCGCGTCCTGGGTATGACCATAAACTACTTCCGCGTCCTGGGTATTGCGATCAACAACATCCGCGTTCTGAGTACGACGATAAACTACATCCGCGGCCTGGGTATGGCGATCAACAACATCCGCGTCCTGGGTACGACCATAAACTACTTCCGCGTCCCGGGTATGACGATCAACTACATCCGCGTCTTGAGGAAGACGATAAACTACATCAGGCCTTTGATCAGGAGCTTTTGAGATGTGTGGAACCAGCTCTTAATTATTGGTGTTCCCAGGTCAAGCCTGACCCGGGGTTGTAGCACCTGTTAGGATCCAAGCTATGAACAAATAGTTAATACACTAAAGGGGATCAAAACACTATGAAAGTGTAAAAATAGGCTTTAATACCAGCAATAAATTTTGTGAGGAAAAATGATTACAAGCAATACATTTTTGAAAAAAAATATCGACAGCAATAAATATATTGTCGGCACGAAATAACCCACTGAAGTTGATATGCCGTAAAACAAACCAAACCAAACCAAACCAAACCAGACAGATATACAAATGTACTCATTATTGCTGGAGTACTTGAAATGTTTGCAAGAAGTGTAATCTGAGGCGAAATCAAAACCAAGAAAAGCATCAACTGGTCCAGTGGTTTCTAACCTTTTTTTTTAGGTCATGGCCCATTTTGAACTCAGAATTTATCTGTGACCTATGGAATTATTATAGTGTAAAAGAATTACTTCCATTTTACATAGAATATATCAAATTATAACATTTCTGTGGACGACCTGAGATTTGCCTTAGCTCATTTTGGCCATAGGTTGGGAAACAATGAGCTAGACTATGAAACAAAATGCGTTATTATTGAGACACTGCCAATTGTACCTGTAACCTAACGGTTAAAATGGAATCGACGTGCAGAGTTCAAATTCTGGCCAAATCAGTTTTGTTCATTTTTTCGATAATGCCATATGTAAAGGAAACCTGCACCTTTGTATTAAACAACTTGAGTTGGGATCATTTGCCTTTGGTGGTATCTAGTGTACAAAGAAAAGGCTAAAATCATCAAATTAAGTTAAATTCACCATAGACCATGATAGTTTCCGTCTACGCACGCAATGCTTTTACTTCTGCAGCACATGTAGTAATACCCCAACAACCCTCATGGGTTACTCGTGATTATCATTTTGATAATCGCCGTCAATTGAGACTGAGTGAACACTTCTAAACAACATTAACGAAAAGTCATTAAAATATTATGTATAATTATTATAATATAATTATATTATAATTAGTATAATATATTATTATAATATATTATAATATATTATTATATTATAATTAGTATAATATATTATTATAATATATTATATATATTATTATATTATAATTAGTATAATATATTATTATAATATATTATTATAATATTTATTATATTATAATTAGTATAATATTATTATATATTATTATATTATAATTAGTATAATATATTATTATAATATATTATTATAATAATGAAATTATAAAGAATGTTTTGCTTTCCCCGATCAATTTCTTTTCTTTCTTTCCTTTTTTTATTCTTTTTTCAAACATTTCCCTTCTTTTTACTTTCTTTCTTTTCATTGCTCTCATTCTTTTTTCTTTTTCGATTTATTTTCCACTTGTATTTCTTTTTCTTTTTGTTTATTATAATTTATACTTCTTTCTTTCACCCATTTCTTTCTTTATTTCTATCTTTCTTCATTTCTTTCTTTCTTTCTTTCTTATTGAATCTTTATCTGGCACTACCTTACCCGTTTCTTCTTTCTTTCTTTCTTTCTTTCTTTCTTTCTTTCTATTGTCTGCCTTCTTTCTTTCTGTATTTATTTATTTTCCTTTCTTATTTTAAAAATTTTGGGCCCTACCTTTCACATTTCTTTCTTTTTCTTTCTTTCTTTCTTTCTTTCTTTCTTTCTTTCTGTCTTATTTTAAATGTTTTTCTGGGACTACCTTTCACGTTACTTCTTTCTTTCTTTCTTTCTTATTTTAAATCTTATTCTGACACTGCCTTCAACGTGTCCCCTCTTTCTTTCTTTCTTTCTTTCTTTCTTTCTTTCTTTCTTTCTTTCTTTTCCTTTCTTATCTTAAACCTTTTTGGCCCTACCTTTCACATTTCTATCTTTCTTTCTTTCTTTCTTTCTTTCTTTCTTTCTTTCTTTATTATTTTTAATCTTATTCTGACTGCCTTCAACGTGTCCCTCTTCCTTGCTTTCTTCCTTGCTTGCTTTCTTGCTTGCTTGTTTTCTTATTTTAAATCTTATTCTGACACTGCCTTCCACCTGTCCCCTCTTTCTTTCTTTCTTTCTTTCTTTCTTTCTTTCTTTCTTTCTTTTCAGTTCTATTCGATGAATGCTGAATGAACATTGAATGCGCGCACAGACATCTGCAACCCGCATGCGCGAAAAACCTTCCGGAAATGCAGCACGTGCTTCCTTTATATCTTTAAGCCAGACTAGAGCTCAAACTTAACACTAACACCACAGTCAAATAGCATATGATTGGGAATATCCGGTTAGCATTCCTAAATCTGAAGCAGAAGAAATTTTCCTGAGAAAAAAAAATATTCATGTTCCATCGCATAAAGAATTTTTTGAAAATTATTGTCGATCTTCTGCATGAAAATGGTTGTAACTAGAAGATTTTAACAATATCATGATCCGATATATATATATATATATATATATATATATATATATATATATATATATATATATATATATATATATATATGTGTGTGTGTGTGTGTGTGTGAAAATATATATAAAATAGGAAAAAGAACTCGTTAGGTAAATAATCCAAAGTTCTTTAGTATTTTTGTTATTATTTTAAAAAAATAGTGCTCGATACAAAAGTAGAGCATAAATATAATTATTTATTTAAAAATATGATTCCAACACGCTACATAAGAGTTCTCATGTTTCAAAACAAGAGACAAAAACTTCAATACAATTATTTGAATTAAATTGAATTAAAGTAAGCTCTGTTCCATCTTCAAGCGAAATTTTTATTTTGGAATAACTTATAAAATAATATACAGAATTTATTTCCTAGCAAAACATATAGGGTGTCCCCCAAAATTTGACATCATTTCGCAGGTCATAAATTTTGGCAATTCTTGTTGAAATAACTTCACATTTGCACAAAATGTATAGAAACAGATCAAGATTTCATATTTAATGTTTTATTTTTGTTATCTCAATGAGAATCTGCCAGAGAGATGGATCGGGCGTGGTAGGGATGAAGACAGTTTTCTGAAGAAATGGCCGCCGCGGTCACCGGACATGTCCCGGTGTGATTTCTTTTTATGGGGATATATGAAAGGAGTGATCTATATCCACACTCTTTCTGCTAGCATTGAAGTCAAGAAGAGAATCACTTCGACATGGATAGTGTTACTGGAGACATGCTAAGCGTGTTTGGCAAGGGCTTAACTACCGACTTGACGTGTGCTGTGTCACAGGCGGTGCACATATTGAACACTTATGAAATCGGTCCCATAATGAACTTATGATATTCAACACCCAAACGTCAATTTGATTAAGCTAATCTTAGTAGTTTTCAAGCTAACTGCTTTTAAAATGATGTCAATATTTTGGCACACCATGTATGAGAAATTTTATCCTGGCAACTGTTCTGATGAACTTTTTCACCCTGGTGTTCCGGCGACACGAATTTAAGCGTGTTACTATATTGGCAACTAGGACGCACCCTTTTACTGTTGAATCAGTTAAATGTAACCGTCACTTCTACTCTAACAGTTTATTTTCTCGCACTTCTCGTCTGTAGAACTCACTTCCGTTTCCTTGCTTCTCTGATAATTATAATCTTCAAAAAATTACACGCAATGTCAATCGCAATATCATGTCATCTTGAACCCTGTTCATTTTTTGTCTTTTCTTCAATGCTTTCAATTCTATGTTTTCTCATTTTCTTTCCCTTTCACTCTCTGCATCCCTCCCTGCATGCTTGAGGTGAAATAATAATAATAATAATAATAATAATAAAAACAGTATTCTAGGCGTATATGAAACTAAGTGGGAAAATAATGGGGACTTCCTAAGCGACACACACTGGATAATACATGCAAGCAGTGAGAAAAAATAAAAGAGGTGTAGAGCTAATATTAGATTATGACATGAATAAAGGTGTTCTGTGATACTGTCAAATCTGAGACTAAATCATATTATTTAAAGTAAAATGGAATCTCTTTAATATAAGCATTATCATTGTATACGCACTGACAGCGCAGATCATGCAGGAGGAAATCGATAACTTTTGCAACACTCTCAACAATTCCAAGACCCTATGAAAATCACAATAAATCTTTATAATAATAGAGAAATCTAAATGCCGATGTAGAAATTAACAAGAGGACGAAATAGTCGAAAACTTGGGAATTTCTTTTTATGTGCCATGTCCTTCCAGGATGTAAGCGATGATGGCTCTAACCCCCCCCTCTATCCCTTGCACCTCTCAACGTGTTCCTTCTCTCTGCTTCCTCCCCCAGACCACGTTCTGTTATCCACTTGATTAAGTCCGCCAGGTATGTTACGCATTGTTTTCCCTTGTTTCGCTTTCCCTCTGTTCGACACGGGAGTATCTGATTATCCAGGCCCTCCTTCAGCTGCCTCTTCCTGATATTAAATATAACCCTCTTCCTTGTTTGCAACCTTTTTAAGATCTCACCGTTGCTCACACGCTTGGTCCATGATATCTTCAGCATCCTTCTGTAGAACCACATTTCTGTCGCCTCGAGTCGTTTTTTCATCTTTGAGGAAATCGTCCAACATTCGATGCCGTAAAGAAGGATAGATGTTACGTAACAGTTCAGTATTATTTTCGTTGTTATCAAGGATATCCGCCTGTCTGGCAATACTCTGCCCAGCTTTTGGAATGTGTCCTTGGCCATCCCAATACGCCTACGGATCTCAGTGTCGCACTTACCATCCTTTGTCAAGACGCTTCCCAGATATTTAAAATTCCGCGTCTGCTTTATTCTAGTGTTCCCGACTTGCAAATTGCATTTTGGGCTCATCCTCTTACTGACGACCATACACTCCGTCTTTTTGGGGATTAGGCCACCGAAATTACAGCAGTTGAAGTTAGGGTCCAGTTTTACACAGGAAACGATCGAGTAAACACCAAAAACATCCAAGAACCCCATGGACATGGAAAACGCCAGTAGGAGACAAAGTGCTAGCTTCACTACGTAACTGTCAACAGAGTTACGAAATACGGATCTGCATTGTAAAGCAGACGAAATTTCCGACTACGGGAGCGACCATCTTCCAGTTGTGGTCTACGTCCTACTATGGAGACTAAAGATCATATCACCGCCTAAAGTGTAATAAAACAGACTCCTGAAGGACCCGACTTGCAAGGAAACATACATATATAAACGTGTATAACATGAGCAAGACTATATAATGAAAGTAAAATTCGGTGAGAGAATCATAGAGCGAAGTCGGTGAACGAAATCATGCCAAAAGAAAACGAAAGAAGAAAGGAACAAATGGATGACAGGAGAAATTCTAAAGATAATGATTAAGTGACAAGAAACAATGCCAAGGAAGGGCAAAGAATACTGAACACTAAACACTGAAATGAAAAACAAATTTAAGCAAGATAAAAAGGAATAAGTCAATAAAAAGGAATAAATCGTGTAATGAAATGGAGAGAATTAACAACATAAATACAGCAAATATGTGCAACAGAATAAAAGAATTAACAGAACGAAAGGGGACCCAACCATCTAAAAAGGACTCCAAAAGTGGAATGAATAATTCAAAGAACTTTGCGATTGCATACTTCAAAGAACGATGCGAGAAAGAAACCTACACTCAAAATTACGGAATAGCCAGAAATACTAAAAGATGAAATAAGATTAACACTGGAGAAGACGAAGAGGAACAATGCAGCAGGGACTGATGGGATCTTAAGAGAAATGCTCTTAGTCTTAAATGACTTCGGTATCGACAAGATCACCAAAGTAATTAAAATATACAACAGTGCTAGCATATCAGAGGGCCTCACTATCAATCCATCCTCATAAAATTACCTAAGAGACCAGATGCAAATGAAGGCGAACTCCATAGAGGCAATCAATTAAATGAGCCACATAACTAAGCTAATAATGCGAATCCTGATGAAGAGAGCGTAAAGTAGAATTAGACCAGAAATACGACAAGAGAAATGAAGCTTTGTCAAAGACACCGAAACAAATACGACACTCAGTATTAGAATGACACCAGAGAGAGCAATACAAATGCAGAAGGATGTACAGAAATCTGCTCTATAATGGAACTTCATCTTTTTTACGCTACTGATCAATCTGTAAAGGCACAAGAGCCACTTAAAATAGAAGGATACTAAATAGAGCTATCCTAGGGGAATAATTGTAGATTATGAGTATATGTCAGATAAGTAATGGTTTATTCTAGATTTGAAAACACTCTGATGTCTCTTGCACAAATCAGTAACACTCGAGAAGAAGCTGTCTGAATGGAACTTCCTCCTTACTAATGGAATACAAAGCGTATGAGGATGCTTAGCTCATGTGTACCTAGGATGGTGGGTCTTAATGGTCTGACACCGTCTAGCTAAAGATGGCTCGTCAAAATCTTTTCCCATGGAAATAGCATAGATTAGCGATAGGTTCATGACTTTGTGTCTGTGGAGAAAGAGGTTGTATGGTGGAAAATAATTCATCACACACACAAGAACATGTAGACGCTTTCAAACTCTGTCTGATGACGAGAGAGAGAGAAAGCGGGGAGAGAGGGAGCTGCGAGAGGATTGGGCAGCTCCAGATATGACAGCAATACTCTGTCATTCGATCTGACTCTTGGTGGAATTATTTTCTGCAGTGATATAACAAGCCAACTAAATTTGTCTATATTTCTGAGACGAGTTATTGCAATTATTTACACTATTTACATTCTTCGGACAGTTGTCCTAATCTTTATTGCCATATTCACGACGTTTCGGCCGTTGTACGCTCTGGCCGTTGTACGCTCCGGCCGTTGTACGCTCCGGCCTTCTTCTGTATCTGTCTATATTTCTGAGATGAGGTATTGTAATTATTTACATTATTCGGGCTATTGTCTTCATCTTTATTGCCATATACACGAAGTTTTGGCCGTTGAACGCTCCGGCCTTCTTCTATATCTGTCTAAATTTCTGAGATGAGGTAATGTAATTATTTGCACTGTGTCCTTAAGGACACATGGCACAGTGGATAAAGGCGTTAGTTAGATCCAGTGACAGGACCCAAAGAGTGTGAGTTCAATACCTGGTTAAGGCAGGGGAGAACTTTCGGAGGGAAATTAACAGGAGATGACTGATAACTGACATCCATTAT